GTGTGTGTGTGTGTGTGTGTGTGTGTGTGTGTGTGTGTGTGTGTGTGAGACTGTCTTATCATGTAGCTCTGGCTGGCTTGGAACCTAGGCTGGACTGGAACTTGCGATCCTCCTGCCTCTGCTTCCTGAGCTCTAGGTTTCTATGTATGGACCGCTGTGTGCAACTTGTACGTGGGTGAACTGAGAGGTGTGAATCGCAGCGCAACAAAGCTCACAGAAAATAAAGAAACTGGCAACAAGAAAACTACGTGTTGGTCTTTATAACTGGGGAAGAGGGAATGGGAGAAACTTTATGGGAGTTGCCAGTTGGGATACAGCAAGAAAGGGCAGGTGTTGGGTTACTAACTCACAGGGCAGAGCACATAGTGAGGCCTGAGAGTCAAGGCTGGGAATCAGAGAACAGCAGGCAATAGTATGGTGGGGGTTGATGAAGGAGCAAGGTGTGGCCAGATGGATGGGGAGGGCAGATGGTACAGGCTCCAGGGACTGACGTTAAGGACTCTAGAACTCCCTTGTACAGCAAGAGGGAGAGATGTTGAAGGGCTTTTAACTTAGGGAATGCAGCAAGTGGATTTGAATTTTTAAGAGCATAACTCTGGATTCAGAAAATTGATTTGACAGATATGAATGAATACAGAAAAATAAGATCAAAAGCCACTGAAAAATTCAGGGAGACAGATGATTTCTAAGAAATCGAAACTGAAGTAGTTTGAGGAGAGAGTAGGAAGTGAGGATGTGGAAATCCTCTGTGGAATTTGGCTGTAACAGGAGGAGAGGGGAAGTAGTAGCTGGAAGGGATTAGGAGATGGGAGAAACTGAAAAGATACATGTGTTTGGATGAGGCTTAGAAAACCTGAGAGAGAAAGAGAAAGAGATATGCTGTGTAACAGAACATGAGAGAAGGAAGGGGTGTTACCAAAGCAGGTGGCTTGGTATATTTTCAATCAGAACTCCTTTATCTTCCTGCTTCCAACTCCCCAGTGCAACTCCTGAGCTATATGTGAAAAGATATGTACAAAACTGTGATGTCAACGAATGACAATGAACAAGGAAGAGACAGCACTCTCGGGGTAACGGCGAGCATTAATGAGAGAGATAAAGATGTATGCGTGTTCCATTATACTTCCTCCTTGTATGAGCTTCAGATCAGAAAACTGAAAAACAAAAAACAAAAAAAACCCGAAAAAAAAACCCCACAAAAAACAAAGGGAATTGGGACTCCCCAAAAGAGACAAGGTAGAGAAAATTCAGAGACTTTAAAATTTCGTAAAAGGAGACCCCGTGAGCCGAATTAGCTTCAAGATACAACCAAAGAAACAATAAACCCATGCAGATTGTAATAGGCACAATAACATTGGAAATGATATATTTTTAAAAAGAAATGAAAGGAGAAATCAATACAGTTGAGCAAAGCTGACTCTTGTCAATTCTTAATCGTGAGCAACCATCAAATGTTCATCAGGAGGTACTGAGAAACAAATATTATATATTCATGCAGAATGCCTTTCTCACAGTTTCAAAGCACACACATGATTCATAGATTATCAAATACTATTTACAGAAGCAACAGAATTTGTTGTAGAGGGTGTGGTGGTGAGCTTTGATGATCAACTTGATTGGAGGAAGAAAAATCTATGTGTTTAGTGAGGTATACTTTTGGGTGTGTTTGCACGGGTATTTTCAGAGAGGACTGACTGAGGTGGTAAGACATGTTCTGACTGTGTGGAGGGGTACCACCCCATGAACTGGGTCCCACACTGAACAAAAAGTGGGGAAAAGAAGAAAAGCTGGTTGGGTACGAGTGCCCATCTCCCTCTGCTTCCTGACTGTGGATACAAAGCTCTAGCCACCCTGTGAGCTGCTGCCACACTTTCCCTGCCTTGGACATACATATTCTTTCAAACCATGAGCGGAAATGAACCGTTCCTTCTGTAAATTGCTGTGTCAGCGTTTTGTCACAGCAACAAGTAACTAATAGAGAGGGTATTGACCACAGGATTGTTGTGTGGGGAACCAACAGTGATAACTAAAGAAGAGAGACTTTGGGTCAGGCAACAGAAATGTCTTCCAGGAACTCAATGTCTGCCATGTTAGTCTCTTCTTTCTCTTTTTTTCTGCAGTGGCTCAGGGAGTAGAGTTTCTATGGAAGCATGGATAGGAATCCCCAGGGAAGTAGATGCGTGTGTCTACATAAGAAATACATAGCACTTGAAGATTCCCAGACAGTGGGAGCACAAACTCGCAAGCTTCTCAGGACTCTAGAACACTCAGCTGGAATTTCCACTATAGCAGGATTGACTACAGATATGCTGTAACTCTAATTTGTTCCATAAGGTCAAAGAGGAAATGGCGTTGTTTGTTGCTGATGATGAACTGGAAGCATAAATGCTAACAACTACACAGATCTATGTCTGCCCAAGGCCAGCGAGGCGATGGTAGAGCTGGGGTGGCTGGCTCTCCTTTCCCCCAAGGTCAACTGTGCGTGTTGTTCCACAGTGTTCTATTTTCACCATTTCAAGTCCCTGTTTGGAATGAGTCATCATCCGTTCTCTTTGGAACATTAATTAAATGTTGTAAATCTCTCATTCATGACTTTCAGGCTGTTTCCTTCATGAATGTGTCTGGATGAATTCTGAGCATTTGGCCTTGAAGCTCGGGAGCCATGAGCAAATGGATCTTGGCTCATAAAGATAAGCTTTCTCAAGTCCCTGAGAGGCTATTTCCAGGAACTCTTATGTGTCATTCTTAGAGCAAGTAGGAAAATGTTCATAGGAAGAAGAAAGGACCCTAACGCTGCTGTGTCTTACCTGGTCCAGAGGGCTCTGCTGGCCTCCTCAGCTCAGCCGTACATGACCAGGTTCAGCCACTGAGAATAAGCATGATCATTAGAACAAATATTTTCTGTCCCTGCTCTTCCCTTGTCTGTGATGTGTGAGTCCTTGTATGTGCAGATTCATGTATTTATACAATATGTGAGTTTGTATACAATATGCGGATGTTGACACTAGGTGTCTCCTTACTTTTTGAGGCAGAGTCTCTCATTGAACCTAGACCTTGCCAATTCGGCCAGGCTAGTTGGCCAGCAAGCTTCAGGGTACCTCCTGTCTCTGCCTCTACAGGATTCTGGGACTGTAGGCATATACTGCCATGCCTGGCTTCTCATGTCCTTATGCTTGTGTGCTAAGTACTTTAATGACCAAGCCTCAGCCCTGTGGATGCAATCCTTAAAGCTGGTTCATTTAATATGGAGTAGGACCATACATACTTCTTCCCTTGGAAGAACTCAGTTCAGTACCAATGCCTTTCCCAGCCAATTCCACTCTCAGTGTTCCGTCTTTTTAGGTAACTACTTTCTAGGTAACTCCTCTACAATCCTCTTCTCTGGCACCTGAGCAAGTGAGGGGCATATATTATTTTCTAAATGGCCCACCAGAGAGGGGTGAGTGTGTATGAGTTGACCAGCTGTCTGGTGAAGTGGATCTAAAATTTAGGCTTAATGTACAGTGAGCTTGGTGGATTGTTTTTTACGTCTCTCTTGGATTTATGACTCCCACATAGTCCTCCGCTTTATTAAGCTATTGGAAAAAAATAAAACCTCTCTGCCAAGATCCTAAAGCAGCCTGGCAGCCTGCAATATATAAAGGCAGTAATTGGAGGCAGCTCCCAAGGTCCCTCCCCCCCCCCCCAACACTCCCAAGCCAGCCAGGCTGGCCTTTGACAGACTATTCAATACCCAAGGGAGAAAAATGCCTCTTGGAACTGGATCAGTAGAATGTAGCCTGGGACTGTGTCTGGTCCTGGGAGAGGAAGGTGCCTCACCTCGATTTCTGTCAGGTGGATGCCTTTGCCATCCTTGGAGAGGTTGCGGAATGCCTCTAGGATAGAGGAAGAAAGGTTTTGACTGGCTGAGTGGTCATCAGTTTTCACTGTCCCCAGTGCCTTTCCTCTTTTCTCCTCTCTGTTTCATCCAGCTCTATACCCTGTGTGCTCAGGGTCCCCCCCCCAAGACAGCTGTAATAGGTTCCACAAACCTTACTTCCTTTTTTGCCTTGTGGTGGTGTATGGGTTATTATTATTATTATTTTTAATGGGCACAGTTAGGATCTCCCAACCTACTTCAGAACCCAGGCTTCTCCTTTGCCTTCTCAGGGTTTGCCTCTCAACCTTAACACAGAGCCTTGGGCTTTAAGAAAGCCCCATGGCTGTTGAGGTATCAGGAATAAGGGGTGTACCATTCCCTCATTCCCTGCAGCTGTTTTGAGCTGCACTGTGGCTTGGAGCTTCACATAAGATATCACTGAAAACAAAAGCAATTCTACTAAAAAGTGTAGAACCCTCTGATCTCCATCTTAGGACTTTTATAACTTGAAGAAAAGACTTTTTGCACCCATACAAGTAGTCACTTGTATGAAATTCTTTCAGTAGACACTGAAATCCTTCATTGCATAACTAAAGAGTAGATTTAGTTCTAAACATAACCTGGAGAGCAGACAGGGTGATTCAAATTAACCTTGTTCCTGAGACAGAGCCTGACTAGGCTAAGGAGGCAAAAACCGAGTTGGGATGAAGGAATAGAAAAGAGTGTAGAAGGGAGGATATGGACACAGCTTAAGTATTACTATTGGCTGTTATCAGACTCTGATACCCTCTGGAATTTCCAGGTCCTTGTGTCTGAGAATGAAAAATTTAAAAAAAGGATCAGACATGTGGATAAGAGCAGAGGCAGAGGCAGTTTACTAAGGAAGAATATTCGCCTGTGCTGGACAGAGTTAACTGTCAACTTGACAGAATCTAGAAACATCAAAGAAATAGACCTCTGAACATGCCTGTGGAGAACTATCTTGATTGTATTAATTGAGGTGGGAAGACCACTGTGGGAGGCACCATCCCTTGGTTGGGATCCTGGACTGTGTAAGTAGAAAAAGGAGCCAAATGCCGCATGCATTCATTGCTTTCTTCCTGGTTGCAGATGAGACATAATAAGTGGCTTCAAACTCTGGCTACCTTGACTTTCTTGACTGTAATCTAGAACTATTGAGCCAGAACAAACTTCTTTTCCCTTAAGTTGCTTTGGTCAGAGGATACTATCATAGCAACAGTGAAAGAAAGTAGGACAACTTCCAAGACAGGAAGTAGGCCAGAACTTAGAGGAAGGTTAGAAGGCCAGTGGCATGGTGCTAGGAGGGTAGCAACCCTTTCTGAGTCACTTGCACAGCACCAGTTACTTCACAAATTTACATAGTAAGGGCCTTTTCTTTTCCTTTTGAGAATGCACTATTACCTGTTGGCTTTGGTTGGAAGTTTTCAGTCTTCCTCTTGGCAAACTGATTTCTTTCATATGTTAATCTCACAGCAGCTGTGTAAAAGTTTTTGGCAGACCTCATTCTCTTCCCTATCCCTTGCCACAATACTACTTGTAGACTGCCTACTCCCGAGCCTTCACCCAGGTACTGGGGTGTCATTGCTTTCCTGGCCATCTACTGAGTTCATTGGTCACTGTGAAGGTCTAAAGAATGCTCCCAGGGTCACTTACTTGCCATGGTTTCCAGCCGTATCAGGAAACAAACAAGGCTGGGGAAGCTTACTCGGCCAGAGCTATTGCTGTACCTGAGTGTCATGAGACTCAGCAGTTCATTGCTGATGAAGACACCTGAAAGGAAGTCTGGGATGGGAAGAGAAACTGGTGAGCTGAGAGGAGACTGGATATGGTCTGGTCCTCTGCCTCATGGGACTCAAGAAACCTGTTAAGAAGGTCCAGCAGCCTTCTACTATACCCCCAACTCAATCCAGTATGTCCCACCTTACCCAGGGTCTCTTCTTTTTCCCTTGGTTGTTGACTGTTGTGCCCTAGTGTCACAAGCCTGAAGCTTGGCCTGAGACTCAAGACACTGACTAGTCCTCTGAAAACACATTGTCTTTTCTAATAATTAGGTAATCCTCATATATCATGGAGCTGCCGGGACACCTAAGGGTGTAAGTCTGGCCTTGCCTCTGCCAGGTTTCTCTTTGCTGGTGATCATATTAAAATGTCTTCTAACTAGATGTCAGGACTCTCTGTAAGTCCCATGTATGGGTGCTGTTAATGAAGTCAGGTTTGGTCTCCCTGCAAGAGGGAAAGGAAAGGCTAAGGCCCAGAAGGGAGACCATAACTCACAAGATTGCCGCAGCTGGGTAGAAGATAGGTATCTTGCCCTCTTTCTTTGACCTTGTCATTTTGCATCTCTAGTTATAAACTCCAGGGAGGCAACAGCCACACAGGTGACAAGTACAGAGTGGCCAACAGTTGATGCTCTGGTGAGCAGGCAGACATTTGAAAGCTGAGCCATTCATGTGGGGATGAGCTTGGTGGCCTGTGGGCCCCATGCAGCTAGAGGCACATTTGATTTCTGCAGTAGAGCGATAAAATAGGAACCAACTGCCTTCAGATGGGGCTTGAGTTTCCCAGATAGCTACCTTCAGTGGCTCATTTCTATCAACCCTTCAGTTACCTGACTAGCTTCTGAGAGCTTCTGAGTTGAATTGGGAGTAGTCTCTATTTTACTGACCCCTTTTTTGTTCTGTTATCATTAGACTCCTGTGATGACTCCATCTTCATCTGGCCTTTCAGTTGTTCTCCAAGTGTGGCCCCATGTCAGCCACAAAAATAATGCCTTGGAATTTGCTGGAAATGCATTTTCCAGCACTCCTCCCATCTCCTGATTTGGCAATGGAGGGATAATGTAACCTTCCTTGTTCTATCAAGCCTTGCATGGTACTGTGGGCCAGCTTAGCTCTTAGGCATCTCAGACTTTTATGCTGCAAACCTGTGATGCTGAGGCATGGGAAGAAGAATTATGGAGGCTCTTTTCCCAGAGTTAACCTGGGGGAACATGATTCTATGGTTTATTAAGGAAGGTGGCCATTTCCTTACATAACCTTTATGTGATCTGTCTTCCCCACAGGTACGGTGGAGGTAATGATTCCTGCGTTTCCCAGTTTGCAGCCGAGTGGAGACAATGAAACCAGGTGATGTGAACAGTTCTTGGTGAACTGTGAAGCACTTATGAGCCCTAAAGTATTGTTATTGTTATCCCAGGACAGAGCTCACACCTGCTTGAAGCCCACACAGGCCATTTGGTTTAATTTAGCCTTGAGCCTTCTGTGAAGAGAGAGAAGTGAGATTCCTCAGCCTGCTTGTGAGTATTTAACCCTGACAAACCAGACAGTGAGCTGCAAACTTCATGATGAGCTCCATACCTTGTAGGTTCCCTCTCTCTCCTTCCCCTCTCTCTCCCCATCAGTCAGAGATGTGCTGGAGAGAAAAGGTAGCTGAGGAAATTGACTGGTACAGGACTGCTCAGGCTGTGGGCAGGGAGCTCACATCTGAGTCTGTGGTGCTGGAAGCCCATCCAGGTCAATGTAGGTAGGGGAGGACACATCAGCTAGAGCTCTCTTTTCTCCCAGCTGCCCAGCCTTACTGTGCCAGCCTTGCTTATGGCATGCTGGGAAGGTAGGCCTCACACATGCCCTGTGGCCCCCCAGTCGTCCAGGCTCATGGGCCCCACGTTACCTGTACTCTCGACGACTTTCCATAAGTCTGAGCTCAGGAGAACTCCAGGGCTCCTCTGGATGTTCTGGAAAACATGCTGATGGGGAAAGAAGCAAGAAGCCCGTGAGGACCCAGAGGATGTGGACAGAAGAGGTCCTGTAAGCCAGTTCTCCAACCCCAGAGGAGGCACGGCCAAAGAGTGCAAGGAGCCAGCTTACAGAGGCAAAGGAGGGACAAGTGGGGGTGACGCTGAAGTCCGAGTGTGGCCACAACTGGACCTGACGCGCCACTCTTCCAGCCAGCTCTCCTTTCCTCTTCTCACTCTAGACACGCGAGGAAAGGCGGGCCAGAGAGACGAAACATTTGGCTGCCTTTGGGGATGCACAAGGACTCTCAAAAGCAATGCTTCTCAACCTGCCTACTGCTGCGACCCTTTAATACGGAACCTCGTGTCCTGGTGACCCCAACCATAAAATTACTTTCCTTGCTAATTCATAACTGTACTTTTGCTACTGTTATGAATTGTAAAGTAATTTTTTTTTACTTAAAAAAAAATTAGAGATAGAGGCTTGCCAGAGGTCTTGAGACCCATAGGTTGAGAACCACTCACTGCTCTCAAGAGTTTGTGTCCTGTAGTGGTTAAGATGATCTGCCTGGTTTAAATTCCAGCTCAACTGTTGTAACTAACCTTTATCAAGTTACTTCGTCTCTCTAGGTTTCAGGTTCCTCACCTACATTACAGGGCTAGTTATAGCACCTAACTCCTAGGCTGGACACAAGAAGCCAATGAACAAACATTCACAAAGTACAGATCCGTAAGGTAGTTATCATTCACTAATACCCGAGTTTGCATGCTCATATATGAATCCCTTCACTTGTACGTTAGTGAGTGCTGTATAGAAAATGCCAGAAGCAGATTAGAGCTGTGTCCTGGTCCAAGCATGGCTGCAGAAGGTGGTGACTGTAGAAGCCACAGCTACTATTGTACCATTTTTGCAATTACGGGAGACTCTGCCCAGCGCTCATTGTAATCCTGGCCCATGGTGTACTTCCTAGATGGGGAAATTGACCCTCTGGCAGGTTAAGACCTGCTCTTGGATTAAGCAGGCAGCTTCCCTGGGCTGAGCTCAGAGTGCCTCACTGCCAAATCTACACAGCTGCATCACAGGAGCTTTTCCATGTCAAAACAGCGAAGCCCAGGTGTATGCAAGGTAAGGACACCTGTGGGGTGGGGGAAAATGGCTGAAGGATGACAGCTTTAGAGCCTCTTCCTGGCCTTATGTGGTTTCTGGTAGGTTTGAAGGTAGATGTCAAGTGGTTTTCATTACATAATCTCATTCACTTAGTAGCTAATTAGCTAGGTCATTTATTGAGCATTCTGAATGCCGCTGTGTTACACACACTGTGGAAGTCTTTGGGGGAAAGGCGAACATGAGGAAGAGCCTGCCCCAGAGGATTCAGCAGCGTAAGGGTAGGAGGAGCCTGTCAACCAGTCTAGTGTCTGGTGAGAAGTCAAATGGCCCCCTGTCAGAGATCAGGTGATGCATCTTGGCATAGCCACACAAGGGTGCTTGATTCAGCCTTTCAGAATGTTCAGAGGCAGTGACGTGATTAGACATATGATATATTGGTGCAATTTATTTTTTTAAAGCAGCTTGTATATGTGTATATGTTTATACGATTGACTAATTGCCTTATTTAGTTAGGCACTCATTTATTTATTTGACATACGGTTTCCTCTATGTAGCCTAAGCTGTAGCCAAAGCTGGCCTTAAACTCTAATCCTGCCTCTGCTCCCTGAGTGCCGGGATTACAGACATGTGTCATCCTGCCTGCCCAGGTTATACTCTTATTGAGTTTGTATAAATATGCCTATAATAGGACATACTCTGGAACATATTAACTGGGTCTTAACACTTTCCCTTTGGCAAGATGTTTTCTTTTTTGAGTTTTTTTTTTTCTCATCTATGTTTTCTAATGTCAAGCATCACTATTAGAACAAGGAAAAGTTCTTTTAAACAACACAATATTAAGGCAGACAATTCAACTTGCCCTACAGGTGTCTGCTAGTGGCAAGGAGGCAGAAGAGACAGTAACCAGGTCATAGTGACTGGCAAAAGACTTGGCAGGGAAGGCATGTCTGCAGCTGCCTGTATTCTTAGGATGGAAGAGCAATGGCCAGGCTTGGGGGATGGGGATGAGAGAGAGGAAGGGCAGGCCAGAGGAACAAAGACATGGCATTTGTAGGTGACCAAGGCATCTTAGAGTTGGGTTTCAGAGAAAGAAGGATGAGTAAAAATGGCCTCTTCTGGACTTGAAAAATAGAGGCTGAATTCAGGTCTCTGTGCTGCTTTGATGCATTCAGACTTTTTCCTGGGAGTGAGGGGGGGCCATCCCCAGGCCAGAAGCCAGCCACATCTGTTTTGGTAGATCCTCCCCCAGAGGCATTTGGGATAGAAAGCAATGGGCTCAGACTAATCAGTGTTTCGATATATAACATGGGGGTTCTAGACACTGTCCGTGGTAACCTCTTTCTCCATTCCCCTACAACCTTCCTCATCCTGACACGCTGGCAGCACTTCCGCCTTCAGTTATGTGTACCTCTCCCTAAACCAAATGTGAGGTGACTTTAGGGACAGGGTGATGCTTCTCACCCTTTCCTACTCCAGTGTGGGACACCCAGTAAGCATCTGATCAGCTGGATAAGCAAGTGTGTTAGTCATGTCATAGAGAATGTGACCATACCTGGCAGTGCATAAGGCGACTCCATAGTCTTGCAAACTCCCTCTGATCTAGCCGCCCATTCACCTTCAGCTGGAGGAGGAGTTAAGAGCTAAACAGTCCAGGGGACAATGGGGAAAAGGGACCTGTGTGTCCCGCTCAGGAAGCCAGAGCAGCTTCATCCTTCAGCTAGTAACCCACAGCCATGTTGGCCCCATGCCAGCTGGCTCCCACTCTAACTAAAGGTGACCTGGCTTAGATTTGTTTTCACAAAATAAAGTACATTCTTAGAAGGAAGGAGCTGGGAGAAAGAGGCATCAATTTTGGTTATACTCAGCAGTAGAGAGGGAGCCCCCAACACGGTCTTCTCCAGTTGGGCTGGGTTCTCCGGCAGGCGAGGGGAGGGAGGAGCATGCTCGGGCCTTACAACTGCAGAAACAGTGTGGATAGGTAAACGTGCCATCCCTGGGCCATGCGTGTAGCTGGGATACTTTCCCAGAAACCCCTTCTGATAGGCAACTGATGCAAGAAAAAAATAATTGAACTCTGAGAACTAGTATTCTACGCTAGCAGCTAGCACTCAGTCTCAGGGGAGGCTTTATTTGCAGTCCTCCAATACAATATGGGACTTGTGTGTGTGTGTGTGTGTGTGTGTGTGTGTGCGCCCTTTCTACCCTTAACTCCTCCTCCCATAGCTGGGTGCCCTGGCCACAGGCCTGCAAGGGCCATTTGGATTCTTCTGCGTCTCTGAGTGACTCCAGACCACAGCCAGCCGAGACAGGGCTGATTTATGATTCCATCAGGAAGCCTTCTTGTTCTACAATGGCTGGCTTCGCATTCACAATCGAGCCTTGTTAACAGTGTGAGATAGGGGCGATCTGTCTCTCTCTGGGGACAGCCACAGCCTGGGGAGGAGTTGCCAGGCTTGGGATCCATTCTGCATGGACAGTGTCTCTCCTGCCTGGAGAGATAGAGAGGTCAGATAGAGGAGAGAGGCTGCTTGGAGAGGGTGTTAAGAAGAGAATGAAGCACTTGAACTTTAGTTCCTGGTCCAGCTCCTTATGGCCAGGAAGCTGGGCTAACCACTGAACTGCCTCAAGACCAGTGTCTGCAGGTCCAAAACCTGTGAGCCACAAGGGGTACAACTACCGTGCAGGCAGACTGAGGACGTTTACGAGCATTGGGTGGTATCTTTTTAGACTGAGGGACTTTGACATGAGGAATCTAAGCAGTGAAGAGTTCTCTGATGTCGAAGGAAAGGGCAAGGGGAAAATAGCTCCAATTGGAGAAGAGAGTATCGGCTGGGGTTAGAACATAGACCTTGGCAACTAAAACTTCTAGTTTCAATCTATGCATGACTTCCAAGTATCTGTATAAGCTGAGCAAAAATACTTGACCTCTATGACCCCTGTGTCTTCCATTGTCCAATAAGATAATAGCTGTTGTATTGCCTAGGCTCTTACAAGCATTTTAAAGGCACCTCCTCATGATTTCCAGAAGTGTGGTCAGGAGTGGCTATTGCTATGGCTGCTGTGATGAGCTAGATTGTGGAGTGAGTTGGTAGAAAAACACGCAGCATCCACGTGTGCTAATCTGTAATTAGAATCCCAGGGAAAAGGGTAGATGGGTTCCTGGAGTTGCAGGAGGGGATGACGGCAAAGGATACATCCATCAGAGCCACGATGCTCTGGCACTGGTCCAAGGAGAAAGTGTCCCCTGGAGGCCCTGAGGAAGGAGAAGAATTGAAGCGCCATTGAGGGTGACAGCATGGGGGATCAGGCTGAAACCAGCAGGCCTTGAGCTGACCTACCTGCCATGAATTCCTGGTTGAGAAGGTTCTGAAGTTGGGTGGCATCAATGTCCAGCCCCTGGTTCAAAACACAGGATGAAAATGGGTTGTGAGATGGGAATCAGGAACCAATGAACAAATCTGCCCCAAATCTGTAGCAGCTCTCTGACTTCTGAGCCATTTCTTTCTATAGCATGTCTACCTGTTCTCTGTCCTGGGCCTGCCCTGGGCTCTGGCCACGTTGATAACTTCGTTCTTGAACATCCATCTCAATGGTTGGTCCTGACATGGGATTCCTGGTGTGGGCTCCCTTATACTGCTCCCCTTCACTTATTATTGGACGGAACACATGTTTCTTCCTCCCCTTATCACTATAGCTGGCATTGGGGGACAACCTCAGGAGGACCATCATAGGATGACCAGTGCAGCCCTTTAGATGTATTCTGCACTTCCAGAAAGACTATGAGATACGTGATGACTTTGTTTATGCATGTGTGAGATAACAAGAGCTAAATATACTCAAAATCTAGGCTACTAGAAGCTGCTGTCATGAATCACATTACTTAGTCTTCCCGGTACTGAGGCAAAAAGGAAGGGGTCATGGGTTCCCTTAACTTAAAAGCAGAAAGCAATGGTCATAGGTAAAGAGGATGTTTCCTAGGCCTTCACTCTGGGTAAAGTCATGGCACTAGCCCTTCCCTGCAGACAGGCATTGGGCAGCCTGGTGGGCAGTGTCTCTGATGACAGTTTCACAGAGAAGTATGGCTACTGTACTTCAGGGATCTGGCACTGGAGCAAGGTTTCTCAGTGGGTGGACTTGTAGAGTGGCAGTCCTTGACTCCCTCCCAGGGGTCTTCTAAGAAGATCCCCTCACAGATAATAGCCCTCACAGTCCCCCCACTCTCTCTTTGTCCTTCTAACATTGGCAGTGCCATCTTGCCCTCAAAGCAAGAGCAGCCCTGTTTCCTGTTCTTGTAAGCCCCCACAGTGAGAAGCATAGACTCTTAAGCTGCTCTTGCCTGATGCTGGTCTTCAGGACACTCTTCTAACCTCTCATAGTTTGGGAATATCAGAGAAGTTGGCTTTAGGTGCCAACCATCCACCGAGTTTTTCTTCCAAAGAATCTTGACTCCTTATAGAGGTTTATATGCTAAGGAGGGACTCACCTTCATGGACTTGCCCACTAGCCAACTGAACAGAGCACAGACCACGTCTGTTTCCTTCTCCATATTACCCACCCAGGGCACAGGTGGACCTGGACTCCATACCCCGTCATCCTCAGAAACATTTATGGAACTGATGGCAGCCATAGCAATGATGGTTGCTCAGACAAGTTCCCGGAGAACTGCTTGTGGGAACTGGGAGACACTCAAAGGCTGGGGCTGACATATTTCCAAAGCTTAGTGAGGTGTAGGTACGTGGTGGAAAGCCCTAGGTGTTTGGAAAATGCTTCTCAGTTGTATTCATAAAGGATGGTGCTTAGATTCGCTCTGTCTAATCCTGAAACCCAAATGCATGAGTCCTTTCTGACTGGCAGGTCTGGTTATGCCATCCCCACAGCCATGGCTGGTAAAAACAACTGGCAGCAATGGGTGCTGATAAATGACTGTATTAATAAAGCTGGTTAAAAGCGATGGGAGAGACCAGGAAGGAGGATGCAGTGAGCACGTGAGAAACGCCTTGCTTCGCAGTTTCTTAGGAGGCCACAACCTCTGAGCATGGCTTGCAAGTTGCACAGGATGCTGTCGGGGGTGCCAGGGGTGCCTTGCTCTGGGATGCCTGCCGAAGGGTGACCTAAGCACGGCACTGTATCTACGTCTGATTCTAATTCTGACTAAAGTCCAATATCAGCTAACAGTCACTCTAGGGGGAGCCAGACATTTGGCTGTGGCTTGAAAAAGTCCTGATTAAGGAGTCTGTACCATCCTATCATATGACGAATCAAATTTTTATTTTAGAAGTACAGGTGCTCGGACCTATGTGAAAATGTACCACCTGCCCTGAAGAAGCTTGCTCTCAGGCATCCTAATCAGGTCCTGATGGCCACCTCAGAGCAGCTAACCCAAGCTTGGACATCTGCTCCAGGGGAGCTAATCTGTCTTAATTCATCCTGACAGAAATGATTGAGTACCTCCTCTGGGCCAAGGACAGTGATCAGCATTTGGGGACAAGGAATGCATATGAAGTTGTCTCTGCCTTTGGGAACTCACAGGCAGGGGACAATGGTCTTCTGGGTCAGCTTTGTTTTAGTGAGAGCTGGCCTGAATCCTGAGCGAGTGCTGCAAGGCTGCTCTTTTCAACACTCACCCCTCACTTCAGCCACACTCTTCATTCATCCCCACACCTCTCCTTTATGTGTATAAGTCCAACCTGTGTCTGAGACATCACCATGCTATTAGCCCTCTGAGTACAGAGGCAGAGGCTACCTGGCATCCTTCCTTCTTCAGTCTCTGCTTATCTATATCACTTTCTGCTTCCCACACCGACACGGTTATTAATGGTAAAAGGCCCATCCCACAGAACCATTGGCAGCTCTTTTATCCTGAGGAGTCAAGGAGTTCTTTATAACAGTTTATTAAACCATTAGGAAAGCCCCGTGTGCTCATAGGTGCCTTGGCAGGAAGAGCGCTGTTGGGGCTTTCCGAGGCTGGCCAGCTCTAGGAGGAACAATGCCAGGTATGGGGTTCGGGTGTGTGTGGCTGAGCCAGAGAAAGAAAGATTTCTGCCAACTGCTTGTCTAAAGGCTTAAGCCACAATATATCTCTTACACACAGCCCATAATTATCCTCTTCCTTCCTAAGCTCTATGTTCCAGTGGGATTCCTCCCACATTGGGACATCACTTGTCTCCAGAACTTGGCAACCAGAACATTTGGGGATGGTCCAGGGATAGAAAGAGGCTACTATGACCAATTTCTTTTCGCTCTGTGCATTCTGATAAGCAACTGGAGAGGTCTTATCCCTGAATTTTCTCCCTCTCCTGATGGGCCCATGGGTGTTGGACAGCGTACCTGATCCATATATCTGTAGAAAATGCTTTTTTGGGATCCGTTTTCAGAAAGACTTCCCTGGATCAAAGGGAAAACAGTTATGTTAAATTTCCAGGAAAGAGGCCACTCATTCGGTACAGCTTTGTAACCCTTGGACTGACTGAAGGACACAAGTGGCCTACCTGAATCTAAGACAGCAACTTCACCTGGTAGTTGCGGGGGTGGGGTGAAGGAAATCAAACTTTAAGGGGATTTGGAAATTAAAATTTGTTAGAAGGAAGATACTTGGATCCAGTCTGGTCTTGGAGGGCTGGCCTTCTCCTCTGCCCACCCTCTTAGAGCCATCAGTAGCCTATCATACTGTCTCTGTTCTCCGTGGTCAATAGCAAGAGCAGGAAGGAAAAGCACATCGGGGATGTGATGTAGCTAACAAAGACAGAAAATAAGAGCTGCACACCTACCTTGAGGGCTCTGAGGTTGAAACTGTTGCCTGGATTCCTAAAAAACCAGGGGAACAGTGTGACAAAAATGACCTGCACTATATTTCCGGGAGTACCTGTGAAGGGCACCTGATGATACCTAACATCTCTGGCAGTAGACACACAATGATCATACATGTTCATTTGGGGTGGACATAGTCTGGTCTTCTTCATCTTCAAAGGCAGATGACCTTTGACTCATGCTCCTTGACACGTTCACTGTAAAGACCTTCATGACTATAGTAACCCCTGCCTCAGGCTCAGAGAGACAGGACCTTGACCCATGACAACACTTAAGACTCTCATGAATCAGGGTCTGCTTTTCAGGTCATTCTGTCTTCTTGGTCTACCCTGCATTCTCGGCATGTTTCAGACAAGTGAACATAATACATGGTATGATCTTCCTGTACATATGCCTAACAAGCCTCAGGCTTGGTTATGTCCCTTCTTCTTCCCAGGCTCTTTCTTCCCACATGTATGATTTTCTCCTTGAAATTACTAACTTCCATTTACCGTGTGCTGTTTTCTCTGAGAAGCCTTTCCCAATCCCTATGGCCAGAATCAGTCTCTCCATTCTGCTCATTCACATGGTTTACATTGCTGTTGAGCTATTGGTCTGTGGACTTTCTCTTTCCCTACTGTGACTATCTCAAGGCAAGACTCATACTGTGTCCCTGGCACACCACATGCTGTATATAATGCACAGAGCACTGTTCATATACAAACACTGAAGTGGAATAAAACACTCAGGACCCCTGTGCTTTTATACCTGTCCTTGTCTGGCATTTTGAGGAATATGCGGAGCAGGAACTCAAGTTCTCTTTGGTTTGTGAAAGGAACCACTACGTAAGTCCCGGGGCTCAGGTGGAAGGACTTGGTGAAGTTACACTTGGATACATATTCCATACCCTGGGCAGCATTTCTAAATGGGGAGAAAAATGCAGGCGGCAGTCTTTCCTGGAACTTCTGGAACTAGAAGAAACACAGTTATTGTGAGAAAGCCCTTTCTACACATGAAACCTGGCTAGTAAACAGCCTTCTAGGCCCGTCTCTGCCCACTGGAACACCATTACACTGGAAAAGGAGAGGTAGTGCTGACTCAGATTCACAATGAACCCCCACCCGCTGAGCAACAGTATCTTATCTACCAGGTGCGTCCCGCCTGTTGTCTCTGGGCCACAAGAGTCCCAGGATAGCTATGGATGTGGCCCAACGCATTTGTAGATGACAAAATCATGTTACAATGTCAAAAGGTTGGACACTACAGCAGATGAGCACAAATTTGACAGGTAGTTTTTGTCTCTCTAATCTACCAGCATCTGGAGTTCTGATTTTCTTTCTTATTTATGTGCAAACAAGACATGGGACTAGCGGTACTGTCCCAGCATTGAATTTCTTCTGGGATCCCCACGGTGATGTTTCCTCTAAACCCTTAATCACATGCTCTGGGCTGCCATAGGACTGCAGGGCTGCGTTTTCTTCTCTCCCTCTCTTTCATCTCTAGCAAGAGCCCCGGGAGTCCTTCTCATTGGAAAATAATGGGTCTCAATCATTTTCCTTTTATTTCAAAATTTCTTGCAGATAAAACAATAAATATAATGCAATTCCTATTACCAGATGTCACATACATATTATATAATAAAAACCCCTTACTAAACAAATTTTCCTACTATGTTTGAGCATGCTGATTCCATTTAGAATGGTTACACAGCATGAAATGGTTATTGATAGGCTCTGCCTTGGGGGAAGAATAAGGGAAATAGGGAGTTTTCTGTCGGGGGGGGGTAGTGACAGGGCCAGGCAGAGGATAGGCCACTGTCCTAGGTGCACAGCAGAGGGCAGATGGAACCTCCAGAGCAGTTTTGCTGTTGCTACACAGCAGCGCTTGTGGGGTTGGGGGTCCTGCTTGCTTAGCTCCCTTTGACAGAAGTAATGAATGCTGGGGCCAGTTCTTTTCCAAAAGAGCAGCTGTGCCCTCTGGCACTGGGTATAAATGCGTGTACAGGAGCATGTGAGTGGCCTTCCTCCTACAAGGAAGGTTAGGATGGCCTCACTTATCTGCCTCTCTCCACCCTCATCGTATTTTGTTGCAGTCCTGTTTAGAGAGGACATGCTCAGTGGTGGCTAACAGTGGGACTCGGGGATGAAAGGGGACCTTAGGCCAGTGCCCAGAGGAGCCTGCTTCATGTAGATTCAGGGCCAGGCAGCTTCGCAGCTGGCTCTGTTATTCTAGTGATGGGGCTTGTGCCCTTTTCTGGCTCAAATCCCTACCATGTTATGTTCTTCAGCTCAGGGAACTGGAACTCTGATCCATTTCATTCATTTGTGACCTTTCCTCAGAGCCCTTCTATATAACTAGGCGTTCTTGAATGGCACATTCTAAGCCCCTGCTTTGTGGCTGGGCCATGACTGAAGCATAGACATCTTTGCTGCCAACTTTATGCCTGGATTTCTGAGTTACCCTGTTCTGAGAGTTGCTACTCTAAACACTACTTCTTGGGGCCTTGATAGCCTTGGGGTGGGGCACTGTTACCATCTGCTTGCCATGGCCACATCCTGTTCCTCAACTATACGTTGTACCTTCCTCTTAGCAGCAGAGAAAGGTTACTGAAGAGTTCACAGTCATGACAAAGTCTGTACCTCTGAGGTCAGGCCCTCTGAACCCAATTGTCCCTTTCCACCCTTCCTTATAGTCTTCAGACCTTGTTTCAATATTTGACCAAGTCAGATTATTGGATAAAGAAGATACCTATTTGCTGATGAGAAGAGGTACAGGGAATGCTTTGAAGCTATAAAGAGAGAATCCTTACAGGGTCCAACCACATACCAAGATGACAAATCATATCCTAGTTTGTTCACCTGTTTGGAGATGTTAAGCTGACTGCTGATTGAAGATGCAGTGAGAGTGAATTTGTAGACTTAGGACATGTGGATAGGTACAACAGTTGGAAGAGGTATAACAGTTTACCAAGGGACAGCATCAGAGGTGTGGGAAGTCAATGAGGACAGCAGTGAGCCATACCTGGGAGTCTACCTGTGGAAGAGAGAAAAAGGAGCTTCAGGAAGCCAGACGCAACAGAAAGACAACTGAGTCTCCCCTCCTAGCTCAGGGCCCATGCTATTTCTTGTGTTTTCAGCCTGCCTGGTGTACAAGGTTGTGTGTTGGGAGTGGGGACAGATTCTTCATTTATTGTGCAGAGTTGTAGAAATGGAAACCTATGCTGCTGTAGGGAGCCGCAGAAGGAAGGAAACTGAAGGAAGAAAATATCTGGGTGAAAGTAATGCTCCCTTTATGTCAGAGCAAGATGTGGTTATTGTTCATAGCTATGATAGTAATATAGGGGGGATGGAGAAGACACTGTTAGGACCAGAGATAAGACACAGTCTCAGTCAAGGGCAGATTTCCCAAAGTCAAGTACAGATACATGGAGAGCACCAATGAGAAGACAACTTCTTTGATATCCTTAGACAACTGTAAGCATGATAGGAATTTCTTTGATGGATACTCCCTCCCCTTGTAGGGAATGTATGTGCACACATGAATGGGGGACAGCTATATTCCATTTTTTTCTGTCTGGTGCAGGGAAGCCCCAAGAACACAGTTTCATCTCTACATCCCTCTACAATGTTCAGGGTCCTTCTGGAAATGGAAGCCAGACAGGCAAGAAATAGAGTGGGGAATAGGGTGAGCTGTGATGCTTTCTTTGCAGTGAAGCCAGCTTCCCAGCAAGCACAGTCCTTCCCAGTTATCCTGGGTTCAAGTCCCTTCCTACTGTGGGGGGGGGATCTTAAAGATGCAGATGGACCAGTTGATGGGTGTTACCAGACATTTTAGCCATGGACGTTGGGAGCGAGGTGTCGAACCCTGGCCTGTGGGAGGACCTTTGGGAAATGAGGACGGAATAGCGTGTACTCTTGTCCCTTTCCTCTGCCCTGGCTTTTTCCTGCCTGTTCACACACCAGTGGTAGCAGGTTGATGTAACACAGAACAATGTGCCCGCAGTGGCTGGGGAGTCACAAGCTCACACTAAGATTGGAGCTCCATTTCAGCTACATCAGCATTACAATAATCACCCAGCCCTAGGGACTTCCAGAAGCCTGCATGCTGGGTGAGCTCATTGTTTGTTTCTGCCTGGAATACAAAAAGAACTGAAGCATCTTTTTTATTTTTTAAAGATTAAAAAACGTATTTACAGCCAGACTTGGTGTCACATGCCTGTAATCCCAGCATTCAGGGAGGCAGAAGCAGGTGGATCTCTGTGGGTTTGAGGCCAGCCTGGTCTACAAAGTGAGTCCAGGACAGCCAAGAAAAACCCTGTCTCAATTTTTTAAAAAAATTGTTATGTATATGACTGTTTGCCAACATATATAGGTATGCACCAAATGCATGTCTAGTGCCCATGAAGGGAGAAGGTGCTGAAAACCCTGGAACTAGAGTTATAGACCGTTGTGAGCTACTATATGGTAGTACTAGCAGCCCAACCTAGGTCCTCTGCAAGAGGAAGCAAGCACTCTTAACCACTGAGCAATCTTTCCTGTCCCTCAAGCATCTTATGATGAGATCTAGACTGGTCGTTGGCATTTAATTCCATCAGGATCCTGGAAGGACCAATGAGATCTCAGGAAGCCTGAGGAAGCATCCAGTCTGAGTGCCACTTTGGTAAGTGGCAGCTGAGAAATAATGCGCCTCTGTGCAAAGGAGAGAGGGGAGCTTCGAGAAATATTAAAAATAGAGTTGACTACAACTTCACTATAGCTCCTGAACCATAAGCATGTTTGTTCATTGGCTATAGGTGGGGTCGTCTAGATAATGAAGCTCAAAAGGTAGAAGGTAGCTGATCAAGATGGCGCCACAGCTAGGCATGACTACAGACTACCCTACATGACTACTTCCGGGCCCAAAGATTTTCTGTAAATAATGCCTGCTTATTCCTACCTTTTTTGTTTACTAATAGTCGAGTATGGGCATGACCAGGTATGTGTGTGTGGTAAGGTGGTTGGAATGGAGGTAAAAGGGAAAATAAGCAGAAACACCCAGGTTACAAGCCTTCCCCTTGTGCATCTCAGGGCAGGAGATGGGATATTTGGTTTCCTTAGCTACTGCAGTGGCTGCCTGCATGTTCCTCCCACCAAATTGGAGGAAGGCGATGGAGAGAGATTCAAATGACAACTGTCTATTATTGCGTCCTTTGAAGATGTTCTTTGATGGGCCTGGCAGGCCTGAGACAACTTAAAAGTATTGTGTTGAATCCCAACAGTCTCTTCTGTAGGAGCTTTGACTCTTGAAGAATTAAGTAAAAGATGTAGTAGGAATACGTAAGGGTTTTGAACTATATTAAGAAAGTAGAACCCACCAGTTTCTCCTTCCAGAGCAAGGGTCCTTGTTTCTCTTGTTGCTCTGGGTACCATGAGACAGGCAAGTATGTAAGCCCTGCTGAAAACCCTGGGCCTGGGCCTACGGGTGCTGTGATCAAACTCTACCCACCACCTCAGCTGCTGGGAAGATGATTCTTTTTCTTTTGGATTTAGTTTCCGTAAAGGTAGGGACACCCACAGTTGTGAGACACTGAATGACATAGTTTTGTGACTCTGCAGCACCACGTCCATGGAGCCTTCTCACTAGCAAGAGCCACGTTTGTGAGCAGGACAGTTCCTCATGAGCAGAGGAGGCAGGAAGCTTGGCCATAAATGAGCTAAGAGCCTTGTCTTTGAAAGTTGCTTTGTCACTGAGCAACTGAGGTTGTTCAGGGATGCTAAGCCCATGTCTAGCCTAGTGTGTCAGCAGACTTCTGAGCTCCGTGACAGGTGTGTCTGACTGCAGGCTTGGGGGACATCCATTTCACACCCCTGTGAACTAGCCTTTCCAACTCTAATGTGGGAAGAGGGGACTACTTATATCACAGGGATTCCTGGTCTTATTTTGTGCAATGAGGCTATGGGATGGATGATTTGGGAGTCACCCACTCTACCTTCGGGATGCTTTGATTTATTTCGGGAAAAGAGACAGAAGAGCCATTAGATTTATCTGTGTAACTTTTCCCTTTTAAATTGCGGTTTTAAAGAAACAAGTTCCTTAGTTAATTGTCTCATGGTGCGTATATATGCTGGCATTTGGGGGAGTGAGGGAGCTGGTTGGGAGTGTAGTAGAGGAGAGGAGTCTGGGCTAAAGGTAAAACCTGGTTTTGGATGAGTAACCCAATGACATGTCAACTACTGAACTGTATCTGGGCTTTGGTCTCGAGTATAGATAGTAGACATAAGAGGAAAAAGAACAATCAGATTATGTCAGAGGCAGTCCCTCTTCCCATTACTATGGAACCCACTTGGACACTAAACTGCCATGGGCTACAGCTATGCAGGGGTTCTAGGTTATCTCCATGCATGGCACGTGGTTGGAGTATGAGTCTCTGGGAAGACCTGAGCACCCTTACCAGGCCACAGAAGATGACAATGCAGCTACTCCTGATGAGATCTGATAGACTAAGATCAGAAGGAAGGAGAGGAGGACCTCCCCTATCAGTGGACTTAGGGAGGGGCATGCGTGAAGAAGGAGGAGGGAGGGGCTTATGAGGGGGATATAAAGTGAATAAAGTGTAATTAATTTTAAAAAAATAAAAAATAAAAAAATAAAAAAGAGGAAAAATAATTCACCCATTGGATTTAAGTATGTGTGTGTGTGTTAAGCTCTTCAAATTTTAACCAATGATATTAAAAAATGATGTAAGTAGGCAGACTTTGAGGAACTTGTTAAAATACAGACCGTTAGACTCTGCATGTAAAAATCTGTTTCTGGGGATCTGGCGATAGCCCCAAAATTTGCATAATTGTATAAGCTGATCTTAGACTTGAGTGCTTTTTGAGGTACAAGCATTAGATTCTGGGGCACATCTGGAAAAGCCATATCACACAAGTAGTACAGGCAAAGGGCGTATGCCATTTAAAACATGGTTAAGAGACTGGAGGGATGGCTCAGGGTTGAGAACCAAAGCTGCTCTTGCAGAGTTCTGTTCCCAGTTGCTGCACAGTGCAGCTCACAACTGCCTGAAACTCCAGCTCCAGATGGATCAGCCCTCTTCTAGACTCCATGGACACCTGAACACACACACATATACCCACATATACATATATACATAATTAACACTAAAAATTTAGCTGGCTGTGGTGGTGCACACCTTCAATGCCAGCACTCAGGGAAGCAGAGGCAGGTGGATTGCTGTGAGTTTGAGGCCAGCCTGGTTTACAAGGTGAGTCCAGGACAGCCAAGACTACACAGATAAACCCTGTCTCGAAAAACCAAAACCAAAACCCAAACTGAAAAAACAATAATTTTTTTTTAAATAGTCAAGGAGAATTAGACAATTCTTTAGTTTAAATTTAGTTTAAATTTTGCCTAAAACTTTAGAGCTGGACACAAGAATGCCTTTGGGCTTTTATCACTGGATCTTGCCGCTTGGCCAGTGTCTCTACCTAGCCTAAAGTATATACAGTATCTAGGAAGAATAAGACCTAGAGCACATTGTTTACCTTGAACACCTGGAAATGTAATGGAAATATTTCGTCTTCTGTCTTCAGGCTTTGTGGCATGATTGTGAAGGCCACAACAACATTGCTACCATCTGTGGGCTCCTGAACACCAAAGAGGTACTGAGCATCCCTCCTGTGTCCTGGAAGAGAAAGAACCATTACTGGGATTCAGAAATACCCCTAGAGCTCCAGCACAGTACTTTATGGGGTTGGGTTAAAACTGTTTGGAAAGCTAGGTTGGGGCCCACCACAGCCAGTGATTGTGAAGTGAGTTCTTTATATTCTAAGCCTCAGTCTCTTCCTCTTAAAAACAGAGAGGCAAATGTCCAAAAAAGGCTCAAGTACACAAAAAGGACATTTGCTCAACCATGTTTGTAGCAGCTTTATTTGTAATAACCAGAAGCTGGAAACAGCCCAGATGCCCCTCAACTGAAGAATGGATGCAGAAACTGTGGTACATCTATACAATGGAGTATTACTCAGCAATGAAAAATAAGGAAATCATGAAATTTGCAGGTAAATGGTGGGACCTGGAAAGGATCATCCTGAGTGAGTTGTCCCAGAAGCAAAAAGATACACACGGTATATACTCACTCATATAAACATACAACATAGAATAAACCCACTAAAATCTGTACATCTAAACAAACTACGCAAAAGAGAGGACCCTAACTAAAAATGCTCAATCCCCATCCTGAAAGGCAAAGAGGATGGACATCAGAAGAAAAAGAAAACAGGAAACAACCTAGGAACCTGCTACAGAGGGCCTCTGAAAGCCAGAAGAAAACAGGAAACAACCTTGGAACCTGCCACAGAGGGCCTCTGAAAGCCTCTGCCGTGCAGACTGTCAAAGCAGATGCTGAGCCTGATGGCCAACTGACGGGCAGAGTGAATGGAATTTTATGTAAGAAGTGGGAAATAGTAAGAGCTGGAGAGGACAGGAACTCCACAAGGAGAGCAACAGAACAAGAAAATTTGAACACAGGGAACTTCCCAGAGACTCATACTCCAACCAAGGACTCTCCGTGGAGATAACCTAGAACCCTGACAATGCAGCCACTTCTGATGAGAACTGATAGACTAAGATCAGAAAGAAGCAGAGGAGGACCTTCCCTATCAGTGGACTTGGGGAGGGGCATGCATGCAGAAAGGGGGGGAGGGGGGACCTGGAGGGGAGGAGGGAAGGGCTTATGGGGGGGATACAAAATGAATAAAGTGTAATTAATAAAAAAATATGTATATATACAAAAGAAAAACAAAGAGGCGAGTATTATCCCTACTTGAGCAAAAGTGTCTCTTACACTATAAATGCAGCCTTATTTGTGTGTGTGTGTGTGTGTGTGTGTGTGTGTGTGTGTGTATTCAGGTGTGTGTGCACACGTTTGTGAAGGCCAGACGCCAACCTCAAGTTTCATTCCTCATGTTCTGCCCACTGTTTTTGTTTTGTGAGACAGGGACTGTCACTGGTCTAGGACTTGCCAGCAGGAGTGAATCCTAGGAATCTACCTGTCTTTACTGCATGATGACTCTCCAATCATGCATGAACTTATTGTACCGCCTTTCATAGCAACCATTAGAGCCTTAGATGGCATCCACCACCACACACCAGTGAAGATAGCAAGAAATAGTTAGTGTGATGCTCATCTATAGTGCTCGTGTACCCGAGCACATTTACAAGCCAGAGCAAGAGAGCTCGCATGGAAACTATTAAGACTCCAGTACATGAAGCCGCTCAGGAAAGTCAGGATACAGATGAGCGCATGTTCTTCAGAAGGCATGGGTCACAGCTGATGAGCTCCGAAAGGTGAATAAGGAGACGTAGAAGACAATCATGGTCATGGCCTTTCTATGAGTACCAAATCAGATGATGATTAAAATGTACTTAGCAGAATACAGCAGGTACTCAATTGATTATTTCCTTCCTTCTCTTCCTTGTAATAAGGTATTCCTATAAATGGCCTTGCTGTGTGAGTCTGGTTAGTTCACTGGTATATATTATCTTCGAGGAAAGGGTTTTTTTCGGTGTAGTAAGGCAGGCACTTCTTGGGGAGATGAATAAGTAAGAATGACTCAGCAGTTCCATATACTCTGCCCTTGGCCTTCTTGGTGACAAGGCTCTCTGATAAGTACAGTGATCACAAGAATGTGGAGATAAAAAAGAAGCACGCCTTAAGGTCTGGGGTCACTCAAGGAAATCTTCCTGGACAGGCAGCTGTAAACATACATTCTCTCACACAGACACGTTTACAGTCATTTTATGGGGGATGCGCAAGCTCAGGAGTTCTCTGTCTCACCGGAAGCAGTTTCAGGCACCAGCGTCACAGAGAGGGAACAGGCTAGACAGTGATGGAGGTGCCTACCACTGCTACCTCGTGATCAGGGCAGGACTATTCACCCTGTGTCTGGGAAGTGCTCTGCAGGTTCAGGGGGGTAAGCCGGGATTACTATTTGTACCGTTTACAGCTGGGGCAGCTAGGGACAGTGAACAGCGATAGCCCCAGCCACAAAGCTCGGGTGTGGGAATGATGATGGTTTAAAGAGGTGTTGACTTCCTTTCCTGTGCTTTTCCCACAGCCTTTCCTCCTGTCTTGGGTATTTTCTGGATAGCAGAGAGCCAGCCTTCCACCCTGGACATGGGTGGAGCTGAGGAGCAGGACCTGTAGGATGCTGGAACAGTGGTTACCCTCCCACGACCCCTCCCCTGAAGCCTTCCTGCTTGTGCTTAGAGAAGTGGTAGCTGTCCTTGAAGCTACCTCCTTCGCTTCCTTCATCAGGCTCATTGTCCAACCAGACACAAGAGTCAGAGAAGAGTTAGAGTTAGGGCAGAACTGATAGTTGCTGGTCGAGCAGAACAACCACCTGCTGTGTTTCTTGAGATCACTTGGTTCTTAAACATCATTTGGCGCCATCTTTCATTGGGTGTGACTCCGTGATCCAGGGTGATCGGGATCTGGTTACATATGAACAGGCTGGAGAAGTTCTCTTGGAAATCTTGACATGACATCCTGTGGGAAACAGACACACTGTCCAAGTCACTTCTGGATGCATGTCCATAAACAGCTTCCTACCATGTCACTGTGCCTCTCCAGCCAGAGGAAGTGCCCAAAGACCAGAGTCTGTCTCTGTTACACTCAGTGCCATTCCTTTCTGCCCTGACACTCTTCATCCATGCTTGAGAGGACAGTGGTAGAGACAAAATCTTGGTATTGTCTGTCACCTGACAAAACCACTTCCCAAAACCATTAATCCAACTGAGTCATTTTAGGGCCAGTGGGACAAAGGTCAGGTTTTCTCTGCTCTTGGTCTGTCACACTGTCATCAGTCTTGCCTTTGATCTTTGCAAATTCATTGCTGATGTCATTAAGAAAACACATGGATGCTGCAATGAAAATCTGTCCTTGTGCTAGGGTTAACATAGAGATATTGGGGAAGATTTGCCCTTCCAATTGACACTTGTCACTCTGATTCTTAGTAACTTAGACCCAGGCTTTCTTTCACTCTTTCACCCCCACTAAATTTCTTCTTTTTTAATTATTTAAATTTGTTTTCATACAGTATATTTGACTATGTTCTTATTCCTCCTCCAACTCCCTGCCCTACTTCCTTACCCACATAATATCCTGTCCTTTCTCTTTCTTATACCAAACATGAACAAAACAAAAGGTGAAAATCAAAACAGACAACTAAAAAAACAAAGAAATCAACAAGAAGCATGTGCCCCAACTGGAGTTTGTCTTATGTTGGTCTACTAGGCATGGGACCTGCACTGGCATATGACTAGTATTCCCAGTGACACTCCATTGGAGAAAAAAAAAATATTTCTTTTCTTAGCATGTAATAATTGTAAAAGACTTCCTAGTTAAGGCTGGAACTTTGTGTCCACCTCTCCTCAGTGCTGGGAATTCATGTGGTTTGAATCTGTGCAGGTCTTGTGTGTGCTGTCATGGCCACTTTCTCAAGTTCATTTCCTTTTTTTCTATTTTTCAGGGTGCATCTGAGAAACAGGCTCAGCCACACTTATTCTACAGATATGTCTTGCTGTTTCTTTTATTTTTCATACACACAGGCTAGATCTCACTAAAATAGTCACTAACTAAACCAGAAGACCCTGCAAGGAATGTGCATCTTTTCTAAGATGTGCACATAAGGCATGTGTTTTTCAAGACACAGGGTCTTGAATAGCTCCTAGCTGAGGACAGTGATATCCCACCCAGGGCCAGGCTGGTAGATTCTCTTCCAGTTACTCTTTTGGGGAATCTTGCCAAAGCAAATTGGAGCTTTTGGGTTCACACATTATGGAAGACAGGGGTTAAAAATCATGCCTCCACTTTCTCAAGCCTCTGAGAAAGTACCCTTACCATCAAAATGTCGAGGAGAGCCCCGTGTCTCATCTCCAAGATAACCTTTACACCAAGGAGAAGGGACATAACCCCTGCCATTCAAAGCTTTTTTGTCTTGGTGAAGAACCAGATTCCCTCTAAGTGGGTCTTTGTAACACTAGTTTCCATCCTCATGAGAGTTTAAGGGAAGCATTTGCAATGGAAAGTGTGGGAAATAAAACTTCAAACATCCTTAAAGAAGGGCATGCATTGACATGACCTAGGTCCCCTACACATATGTAGCTGATGGGAAGCTTGGTCTTCATGAGGGTCTCCTAGCAGAGGCTGTCTCTAACCTGGATTTTGTTGCCTGCTTTTGAATCACCTTCCCCTAGCTGGGCTGCCTTGTCCAGCTTCAGTGGAAGAGAATGCACTTAGTCTTGATTCAACTTGGTGTGCCCAGGGTGGGTTGGTGGGAGGAGCTCCCCTTTTCTGGGGAGAAGGGGAGGGGGAAAGGAAAAAGAGGGTGGGACCGGGAAGAGAGGAGGGAGGGTCTGTGGAAGGGATATGAAGTGAATAATAAAAAAATAGGAAAAATACCAAAACTCGCCATCATCCTTGTTCTCATACAGTTGGCTTTTCCGTGGATCATGGCTTTCCTCCCACTCTTGGGACCTTCGTATGGAGAGAGAGACCAAGAATGAGATCCCCCACATTATTCTAAGAGGCCCACAGTGACCTCAAACCACCTGCCCACTTTTGTTACAATCTAGGTGTTATGTATGAGAAAACACCCAACAGCTATTCTTCAGGATCTGGCTTTTTCTACTCAATATGGTATTCTCCAGTTCTGCCATTTTTTTTTCCTGCTCAGATCATGATTTTGCTCTTCTTTATGGATGAATAAAACTCCATTATGTGTATATATCACATTTTGTTCACCAGCATATCTGTTGATAGGTGTCTAGGCTGATCCAATAAATTAACAGTGGGAAAGGGGAGGGAGGATGTGCAAGGTAATAAAGAAGGAGAATGATCAAAATACATCTTATACATGTACAAGGATGCGATAATTCCTATAATTAATGTACAGTAATAAAAACTACCTGTTATCTTCAACCATCTTCATCTTCTACTTTCTCCTATTACCAAGTTTGAACACAAGAGCTTTTGGCTTTCTATCTCTTGACAGTTGCCAAGTATTATTCATTTACTTTCTCTACCTCCTAGGGCCTCCTCACAGATATCCTGGTCCCACTACTCCTTCTGTTAGCCTAGTTCAGCCTCCCCTTTCCTCCCTCCAGGGCATGTGGTCTCCCTGAACATAGCTCTGTCCACTTTCCTCCCCATCCTCCATCCTGCCACCAAGATGAACACTCCAAAGCAGATGTCACTTCCCCGCTTAAAGCATTTTGGTGGCATCCAGTTACACCTAGGGTGAAGTTCAAAGTCCTTAAAGAACACCTCAGCTTCGGAGAACCTCTCCAGGTTTAATTGGGTTGCTCTGCCCCACCCCCACCTTTCAACTTCCTATTCCAGCAATCATGAATATCTTCATTTTCTTACTCAGGGTCATCCCCTGCCCCCAACACAAACACCTCTTTGCTTTCACCAGGCTGCTCCTCCAGTAGGAACGCACCTCTCCACGCTGAGCTGCTACCACTCTCTCAGCTTTTGACCTAAAGGGTACTCGGTCTGAGACACATGGCTAAAGCCCACCCGCTTCATACTGAGACCTGGCTCTGCCTTTGGGCTCCCATAGACCTAGTGTTTTCTGTAGCTATTGCTCCATTGCTGTTTATGTCTCTCTCCTTTTCGACTCCAGGAGCCCAGAGAGCAGTGGCCTGGCTTTCTGTGATACTATCACAGGTCTCTAACAGACACCTCAGCACACAGTCCTTGCAATGACTTCTCTCTCTTTTGCTTAGTTAAGTAAACTATAGAGATGATGTGTTCCAGAAGCGAGTTCTGGGATATGATGGAAAAGAGATGCTTCTAGGCAACAGGGAACAGCTGTTCTTCCTTCAGCGTGTGCTTCAAAGTAGAGAGAAGCACCACAGGCTATAAGCCCCAGAGGCACAAAGGTTTAATGAGATCTTTCCCATAGAGGAACCTGCATCCAGAGCATGGGTCACCTCCGTGTCAGGAGACAGAAAGGCAGAGACCACCCCAGCAGGCTTCCGGCTCCTGGCCGAGGCAGTCAGATGTGTTATTGTAAAATGGCAATTTTATAATTAAGCGATAATTACATTTTCTGCAGTGTGTAAGGGAAAATAAATGTAGTGTAAATCAATACGCTATTGATTCATGCAAGTTTGCCTTTAAGTGTGTGCGACTGAAATTTCAATTATGGCTGAGATTAGACCATCCGGCTCTCGCCATCCGTCTCCATTCCTAAGGAGTGGGGAAGAAATCGACTACCTGCATGGAGACAGTGATTATGCGGTCTCCACCGCTTCCTTCCAGCCTGGCTCTGGTGAGAGAAGGCTGACCCTCGGCACTCAGCCAAGGGACATGACCCTACGGGGCGGCTGCTGCTCTGTGAGCACACTCCGCCAGTTAGAGGCTCCATTCATGCTCATTCCTACAGGGCATCAGTCCAAGCTTCGGGACCATTCTTGCCGTCCTTTCTTCCTTGGCTGCACCCCAGCAGTTTCCTGGCTAGGGAGAGGGCCCCTACCGAGTGTCTCTCCTAAAGCACACCCTATGCCCTTGCTACAAGGACACCTCATGTTCGTTGCCATCTGTCACACTTTTTCCTGAGCATGTCTACTGATAGAACCTTTTTCTATTCTGAACTCTGATGTCCCTTGTGGCCTTCACTGGTCGTGGAAGACACAAGGGACATATTAAGCATTTTGAGCTTATTGCCTCTCCTCACCCTAGGGAGCCTGTTGTCAATGGCCTGACTTGTCTTGCTTTTATCAGCCAATCAAAATATCCTTTGGGCTCACATTCAGCAGTTTGGGGTGCTGGGCCTAGAGAAATGGGGACAGCCAGAGGTTACTCATTTATTTTGGAAAAACTAAAGGATAATCCAGTTCTGGTGCACAGGGGTGTGATCTTAAGTACTCCATGGGTTGAGATGAAAGGAGGATAAGTTCAAGGCCAGAGTGAGGCTTGAGCAAGAAAACAAGACTCTATCTCAACCAGATAATAATGAGGGCTGAGAATATAATGAAGAACTTGCCTGGCATGTGAGAGCCTTATGTCTAATCCCCAAGATGGAAGAAAGAAGACAAATATAACTTTAAGAATGGAGGCAAGAGAAAAGAAGCAAAGGGACAGGAATGAGGGCATCGTACAGGCTGCATTAGTACACAAGTGCTTTCCCAGATTCATTTTCCTTCCCATTCTACATCGAGTACCATAGATGTTCCAGCCAGGCTTATCCTATAGACATGTCCTGATGTTTCTATTTTTTTCTCTTCTCTCTCTCCCTTTCTTCATTTCTTCTTCTTCTTCTTCTTCTTCTTCTTCTTCTTCTTCTTCTTCTT